ATTCTTAAGATATCGCCGTTCTAAGGGTTGAAGGATTTACATTCCCCATAATATGAAACAAATGCAAATAATAAGATAATAAGAATATGTTATAATTAGAGAGAAAAATTAAAAAAGAAACACCGTCAAGTCGAATATCGCATAATTCTTCGATACCGATTACTGATATTAAAACAATGCCGAGTTGAGGACGCGGCGTGAATGATACAAAGAATATTCTGTGATAATTTACGCTTCCGCCCATATTCGCCACTTGAAAATTAAAGTTTTTGATCAAATGAAGGTAGTGATGAATGTTAGTTTAGTAAACAACGTCCGACAATTTGAGTTTTTTTTGCATGAAACACAAAGTCTCTTTTGTTGAAATTGGTTTTGAATCTCAACAAGTAGGGTGAGATTGGACTCGTGGAGAAATTGATCGCTCCCAGCAGTATTTAATTTAAATTTCAACCTCTTGTATGCTTACAGACACGTGTATACTTGTATTGTATAGCAGTCGTAAATTGAGCACTCTTAATAGAAAACATACGCTAAAGTTTTATTTTGCTAATATATAAAATGTTCAGAGAACAAGAAAAATGTGGACTTTATGTTTATAATCTTTTTTCTCTTGAGTATTTAAGCCAATTGCTTCTGCAGATGGTTTTGTCCAGTTTTGAATTACAGCATTTTTCACAATTTTAGATAGGTCAATATCGTGACTCCGTTCAACATGAGGATATGTTTCGATATCTTTAATATTAGTCTATGGGCCAACAGGCTAAATTTAAGGAAATGGTATAATTTGGGGGTACCAATTTTCCTTTTTACGACGGTTAGACACTTATATTAGGATGTAAAAAAACTATAATAGCCATCTCAAAACTGGTAGCTGATAGACATGGCGGCCAATCCAAGATTGCGGATGTTAAGGTTTATAAAATCAACTATACCTATCTTTAGAACTATTGGTCCGACTTTATCATTTTCTTAAATAAAAGCTTTTGTGTGTGCTACAATATTGTCATACTTAACTACTTTTTCGATAAAATCAACAATTAGTAACTAATGCATGAAGTAAACCAACGGAATTTTTTTTAACTATTAACATTTAATAAAAACTAAATCAACCTCTTCGTTACTTTCAAAAGTGCCATATACACTAAAATCTGCTACTGCTTCCTTTTCCTCAGTGACGTTTCCACAAGTTGGCAGTTTGCATGCGCTTGTACACTTTAAGTTACATTACATAATGGTAGTTGTCAAGAGCCAACTTGGTAATTCTACGTGAGGTGATATGGAACCCAAACTTAGCGTTATCTTTCATCTTTGTGCTGTTTCCGGAATAGCATCTCTTTGATTTAGACGTACAATTTTCCAATGTATTTTTTGTTTTCACATAATCTATGTCAAATTATCTGGCACAATATACACCTTTCCATCAATATTAACAAACTCTTTGCTGACTTTATGGCTAAAAGCCGTATTTGATCGTATTTATTGCAAGACAGTCAGTCTTGTCAGTTGTCAAGTTCTTGTTTAAAGTTAAGCAGAAACGTGTTTCACGTTTTACGAAGAAGTTAGTGAAAGTGCTGTGTTTATGAAGCAGGCGTCGCTTATCTGAAGCCTTTCTTTAAGGTTTCCCCAGTACTCGTTAAAGGGAGTTTTTTCACCATTAAAGAGCCAATTTTACATCTGTAATTACAACGAATCCAGTGTCGTCCAAATTGAGATACAAGTTCAATTAAAGTAGAGAAGTGAAGTTATGGAAACATAATCCGCACATACCAATTCCATCATCATTTGGTATTTGATCATGCTTCTTCAGCTATAATATATCTGTAGACGTAACTACAATGATTTTTGTATTTAGTAATTTCACGAAGTTTCTTCTCAGTCCTAAGGTGAAGAATCTGAAGTAATGGTTCCATAGATCGACTTTCCTTCATATATTTATATTGAATTCGTAGGGCTGATTTATTTTCGTTTCAAAAGTTTCTGGATTGGTCGTTATGAGATTGAACTTTCACTATCAGAAGAAGCCTTCACAGTGTACAACAGTTTATCCGATGTATCTCCTACTTTAGTAAGACGGTGAAAATTCTTATAAGGCAACGTTGTATAAAACACTGCCTAAGATTGCCTGTATTTTGGAGAGTGCAATTCAAGGTGAAATCTCGCCACATATTTTTGCATATTTTCACCATCTTCTTGATGTTTGGAAGCACTTATTTAATTTTAATTTTAATTTAATTTGTTGATCAGCTAAAGCTGTGATAACTTGTATGAAAAATGCAAATGAATATCGTTTATTTTTGGTTGTACTTCTTATGAGATTTTGTGTATTTTCGGTTTGCAACATTTGCGATTAAACCAAATTTATTTTTGCATATTTTAAGATGTATTTAAATTTTTGTTAGATTTAATCGATTTTAATTTGAATTTTTAATACATTTTTGCGGATTTTTATAACGGACGCGATCATGAAACATACTGCAATAGCCGGAAGAAAGATTTGTTGATTTAATTGATGTTTAATTTCATCATTTCCAAACTATTTTATCTTTCTCTTTCTCTACGGTGTTGATGGGCGATATTATGGAAGGTTTGGAAATTGCTCCCAATAGTTTTTCGTTTTCTAATGCATTTGTTTTTTTTGTACTTTTGTTGATGTAGAGGGAAGTTTCTCTGCTTAGCGCTTATAAATTAATTCTTAGCGACAGGAGGCAATCATTTCGTGCAGAAAACTTAGAGAAACATCTTATTATTCTTATTAGAACGATTTTTTAGTTTTTGGAAACTTTTAAATTTTGCTCACACTGAAAGTATATGAGGGGCCCTTTTTTGAAAAATTGGCGTTGAAACAATAAAAAACACAGAAATTGAAGGATCATTGGGCACATACACAAGATGCGGCGGAACGGTCAACTGGGGCGCTACCAAGGGATGCTGCAACCTTGCCCCTGTTCAAGTTCGGAGTAGGAATGGTTTGGCGGATCGGTCTCTGAAGAATCGGGCAAACTCAAACGGGGTGAACGGCTGCTCCAGGAATTCTAAAGGGAAAAGGGTGGGTGGCCACTGGTGAATACTAAAACAAAATTAAAGCGCATAGGGAACAGTAATAATGGGATTCGGTAGCGGTATCTACGTGAGCGCAAATGCAGGAAAGCGAAACAGTATCCTCCCTTATAATTAATGGAACAATAAATAACAAAAAGCTTACCTACCTTGCAATAAAACGAAGCGGTAGTGCTACTGTGCAAGTAAAAGTAAAAGGGGTTGCTATCTTCGTTAAATAACAGCTTTACCGTTCATAACATTCGGCCATTTCATGGGAGGGCGGGGGGGATAAGAGCTTCCGGACGCAACAAAGATCATTGAAAATATCATATGGATCGCGACACGAAGTAGTCACTTCAAAAATCGTTTCGTTTCAACATCACTCTGCCTGGGGAGAGGTTTTCGCTGAAGAATATTGCGGATTGCTAGAAAAGTAAAATTGAACCCTTCTCAAATATTTTTAAATAATATTTTTCTCAGCACCATAGAAGTACCGTAGAAGTTTGTGGAGATGTCGGCTTTGACTACGTTTTTGGATGTAATTTTTAAAAAAACATACCCATGGCACACCTTTACAAAGTGAGATTCGGACAAAAAATTCGTGGAAATTTCCATAACCTCGCAAATTTTATAACAATTTGACAATTTTTGTTGTCGGTCCAAGGACTGCAGTTGCGATTCCTTTTCCAATTTTCAAAACATGATTATGAATTTATTCTTTTATGTTGAAAAGCACCAAGACACCAAATTTCGTGGAGTGCAGAATTTTTCTTTCGCATAATTCAGAAGGATACAGAACTTTTTAAATAATCGAAAGAGAGCATACCTGACAAACCTGGTAAGAACCTTATAACTGGTATGGGTGGTGGAAAAAATTAAAGAATTTAGACACACAAATTTTATGGCCGTTGTAGGTGTAGTTCCTAAGCATAACATTTTGAACGCTTCGCTTATTTGAAAAAAAAACTGTTTATTTAGGTATCACCCAGTTTTTTATCTCTTATACCCTGCATCCTTAAATACCGGAGACACGATCTCTTTAATAATAATTACATTCAATACCTACACGCTCGCGCTGATCTCGTGTTCTACACGGAAATTCTTTGAATTTATTTTTATCGCACTATTTAGCTGACGTCACACGTGATTTAACTTAACTGCGTTCCCTTGGAGTGACAATGCTGCTAAATTAAGAAAAAAACTCTATAATTTAGTACGACTTCAGTAGTGCAAAATCACTGGGATGGGAGAGAAAGAGGGGATTGTAAGGTGCAAAATGATGAGTTGCGAAATTGCGAATTGCAATTATAGTCTGTTCAAGCTAAAAATGTTTATTATAACGCTCTTGTTTCAGTAGGGCAGCCTATTATGATCAAACCAAAAATGTGTAGGTATACCTAAAAATTATGTTGATATAGTTTAAATGTACTATAGTTAATGCATACTTATTGATCTTGCGGAAAAAGAGTACCATTACCATATAGATAATAATCTTAAACACATCAGTTGCACTAATTTCCTTATTTTCCTATTCTAATATAACCTTTTCTAGACTCTAAAAGCTATGAGAGCTTGTCACGCAACGACGATATAAACGTAGACAAAGAGTGCGGGTAGGTTATTTTCCTTCAATCACTAATTTTTTGACCAAATAACAAAACCAGATGGGAAATTGCCGATGTACGTTTACTACCCACGTAGATATAGGTTTCATATAAACTGATTTCGAATGAAAGTAGGCACCGAAAAACATAGTGTGATATTAATAGGTAATGCCCATCTAACGATGCTGGCAAAAACAATATGAACTTGTTACATTATTAACCTGTCCTGTATTATCTTGTTTGATCAATAGAATACCTTCTACGACACGAAGGTACCAAGTTGAAAATAGAATTGTTATTCATTAAATTTAATTGCACTGCGCAATACCGGTCCCTAACATGTAATTTTATTTTTAGTGAAAGCATACTCATTCGATGTTGGCGGAGAGTCCAGTTCGGAATCGGAAATGGGTGGAAAAACACTTCCAGGTCCTTCTGGAACAGTGGGACCCTACTTTCCTCCTCGCTCTCCGCATGACCTAATCTCACTAGTTGAAAAGGGTAGAGTTGGAATTAGCAGTAACAGTTCATGCAGTTCAACAACCAGTTCCGTCGGGGAGAAGCATGGTCTTAGTTCTACAAAGGTGACGGCAGAAATTAATAGTGGCCAAAGGTAATCACTTACAACCGTAAATGCACGAAATCTCACTTACCACCTTAGATCACCTAATTCTTTACGAGAAACAAAAATAGACAATCAAAATGAAGAACAAACACAAGAAAATTATCAAAAAACTGAAACTGTTTCCAAAGTAACCCAACACAGTATCCATAGTAACAGTTCGAGAGATGTAAGGAGTTTTGAACTTTATATTTGTATTAATGACCGTCTTGTAGTGCATAGTACTGATGAATACAGAAGCAGATGGAACGGAAGTTCTTTCATGCATTGAGGCGGAAGCAGAGACTCAGCTAGTAAACAAATGTGGACATTTAGAGATAGCTCTCTTATACGATGCACCAATGAGAAAAATGACTGTACATGTATTGCAAGCCCGTGACATTCCAAGTAGAGATCGCGGTCAACCCACACACACCCAGGTAAAAAAAGTAGTCAATTATTAAATTGTGATCACGTTTTTATGCATTATCATCTATGCCACAGCGACTTTCTTGTTCATATTTTAATATCATTGTTTCACTTACAAAGGACTGGTCTCGAAATAAATTCTTTTGTCAGTGTACAGTCCACTTTGTTTTGGCGCTATAAAGATTCATAAGAAATCAATTTGCTAGGGGTTCCTGAAGACATAGAAGAACATGATTCTGAAACTAAACAATTGTAGGTGCGGTTGATATTACTACCCAGTAAAAAACAGAAGCACAAAACGAAGATTAGATCGGGAGAAAATCCACAATACATGGAAAGTTTTTTATTACATAGAGTAAATCCCGAAGATGTAAATTCGATGGGTATAAGACTGCGACTGTACGGCTGTGAAAGGATGCGTAGAGAGCGACTTATAGGAGAAGCCATAGTTAGCTTTGCCAACATAAATCTCGAATTAGAAAATAATTTTTGGTTAAACTTAGAGCCACGAGCGAACACTGCGGTATGTTCTCGTATTAGATCAAACGAAAGGATATTTGATCTTTTTTTACAGTTAGGCGGTTATACGGGAGAACTAATGAGTTTAGCTCGTTCGGACAGTACGGGATCAACGCATTCGATGCAACACGGAGGTGTACCTGAATTGTTACTTGGGTTATCTTATAATGCGACCACTGGTAGACTTAGTGTAGAAATCGTCAAGGGATCACATTTTAGGTAAATTGGGCTTATTAACCAATAAGTGCTTTTCGCACTGTCTTTTCAGGAACCTTTCCTTAAATCGAGCTCCAGATACATACGTCAAGCTACATCTGGTTAGCAGTACCGGCCAACAACTTGGTTACAGTAAAACGACAGTTAGGAGAGGCCAACCGAACCCACTTTTTAAAGAAACCTTCGTTTTCCAAGTAAGTTTCCTTTCGTTACAGATAATTTGATGTTCTTGGTGCGTTGTGAGATTTGAAGTGCGCACTATTTTGGCACCTTCGAAAAGTATGTTGATAAAGCGTAGCAGTTCATGTGAAAGGTCGTTGTACCTGTTTATTTCGACTAAACAAATCTTTCCGGATCTACCATGCGATAAACTTTGTTTGCAGATTTCATTGATGTGCTGCATATGATGTTCATTCGTTCGTGCTTTTCACGCTCTTAGGGGCAGTTTTATTTCTGCTCAATACCTTTCACCAATACGCTTACGTTTCCAGAGAATCACAATATAAAAGGCCATCATTCTAATCCATTCAAGCACTATAAATAGTACAAACAATTACGGTGGCGTTGCATGCTGGTTCACTCAACGTTCAATCGGAAATTATAATGGGATTTCCCTTCCACTCAAATTGCAAGTTCTATAAATAACATATTTATACGAGTTTACAAGAACGCAAAACTTTCTCGTCGTTGCTCTAGAATCTTTTAGAGATGTAGGACCGGTTTATAAATAAGGATACTATGGTTTTAAAATGCTCAACTTTTTCCCCGTGTCTTCAAATCTTTTAATTCCAATTCTTACATTTATCTCTTCCGAATTAATAGAAAACTGGTTTTGGTAGATGTTTTTTTGTTCTATCAATTTTCTTAAACTAGGCTTTTCCGCGTCACTTTTAACATTTGCCCGGTAGCGTGTTTTTGATTTTGAACAAATACATAGGTTCTAGATCTCATTGAAGAAGCTTCAAACTTTCACCCTGTTACGAGGCGATGTTGATTAGATTTACATGCTTAGAAAAACCACGAAAACTCTGAAACATGTTTTACGATTTTTCCAAAAAGCAATAGGTTTTTAGTATCCACCCTATTTATCTTTGTGATTTTCGCTCACATCGCTTCGCTACAATACCTTTCACACCCAGTTCCACAGATTCGTAGCGAAAGTCTCTTTTTCGGAGTTCGCCATATCGAAAAACTACCCCCATAACCGATAAACTTTGTCATAAAACGATTTTTTTTCAAGTAAGCATAAAAATGCTCCAGACATGCGCAATGTATGGAACGGCATGGACGTTTTTAGACAAAATACGAACGAACGCAGAAAAGTAGTCGGCTTTGTGTTCTCATTAAATTAACAATATTTTTACTCCTTTTTTAAGGATGGAGATTTTCGATTTCGACCATCAAACCCATACAATTTTTAGACCCTAACAAAAACTCTATTATAATAACTGTTACTGTCGAATTTTTTGTAGTCATAACTCAAAGTCTTTAGGAAAAAAATTGTCTACTTCATCGAAATCTATGGCACGGATCTCAACCGTTAAATCGATCAAAAATGCAAATTTAATAACTGGAAAATCGTTCCTTGTTGAGATATAATTTAGTTGTAAGGAACGTACATTCCACAATTTAAAATCAACACCGTTTCCTAGTGTATTCGTTCCCCCCCTACAAAAAAAACTTCTTGCAAGAGAAATTCCGAGTTGCTCATGAAATTTAACGCGGGACAATTGCTCCTCGTTCTTCAAATATATTCCCTAACTATACTATTGTGCCTTGTATTTTGTAAAGATTTACCAAAAACTGTTTGCAGGTGGCGCTTTTCCAATTAGCAGACGTAACACTAATGGCATCGGTCTACAACAGACGTGGAGTAACCAAAAAGAAGGAAATGGTCGGTTGGTTTAGCTTGGGACTGAACTCGAGCGGCGCGGAAGAACTGGCACACTGGATGGACATGAAGGAATTCCAACAGGAACAAATTTGTCGATGGCACGTCCTGGTGCAATCATAGTTTAACTTATAGGCGTCAAACTAAATCGCTAATAATTTTTTATACTTTAAAGAGAAATAACGATATTGTTACTGTTAAAATTTGGTACCAATTTCTATTTATATATAAGTTATTAGTCTGTATTTTCATTGCCTTATATTGAAATTAAAATGTGTAAATTCGTTCAAGGTAAACAAATATTTGACAAACATAACTACAACTCACTCAAACAAAATACATGAAATGTGATATTGAAATCTAATTTGAAACAACACACAACATTATGAGAGGGAGCAGAGAAATCGACAACTCTATAAACCGGCAAAAATTTTATAGGTAAAAAACTTTGTCCTACTCTTATTGTACCATTGCACAAATTAAATATAAGCTTTACTTAGTAAATTTATAAAAAAAAAGAATTATGTAGGGATGGGTACATTTGACTAAACGCTTACATTTACACACAAAAATATAGTTGTATTAAAAAGAAATGATTGTATTTATACATAAATTATTAGGTTTTATACTTTGGAGAAGATATATAAGATAAGTATATGTAACGTGTAAGTTTCAAAAATCGATCATAATAAGACAAACCCTTTGTGTCTTATTACTTTGTAGAGCGATTTTTGAAACGTATAGAGGCAATATTTATTTAAGCAGATTCGGTTGACCATTCGCACAGTTTAAGCGGGTCTAATATTTGAAGAATTGATCTTAATGACAGGGTTGCACATATAATGCCTAAATTTTACTTGAACGTTACTTATTTGTACAAAATGAATTATTAGCAAGCGTTCAAGCAGGTGCAGGGTACCATCTCTCTATCTTCCATTTAAATAAATTAAGCAAAATATGGAATCTGCACAGGTCTTTTGCAAAACGCAAGATAGAGGTTTTAAAATGTTTTTTATCAATTTTATCCTTGAACGTACCGCATATAGTGTTAAGTAAAGATAATTAGGTACGTACAATTAAGTGAAAGATTATTAATATTTTTATACAATTCAAAATATTAAACCTGCCGGTTGCTTTTCAAAAAGTACTCTTAGTAGGTACACTCCATTCCGTTATTCACTCAACTTATGTATTTTGTAAAATAGTCAATTTCATGTGTTCAATAAATATTTGGATATTCTTATGACAGTTGTTATATTAATTGTGATATAAATGTGATTGATGGACATATTGCGATACAATATGTTTTGATTGATTATAAAATGTAGACTGTAACATGTATTTATGAAGAAAATTTTCAGATATAAGTGTAATACATCAAGTGGATGGCGTGTAAATTTGTAGTACGTATTATAAGTCAAAATTGTACAATACTACGTATAATATTGTGGATTTATTGGACCATTTACAAAGTGATTTCTGGCTACATCACGTCTTATTTATTTCTTATATTAAAAGTCATACTAAGTAGTCATTAATTGCTGCGAATTATGGCAGTTTTTTAAAATGTAAATAAAATTTTAGATTTTAAAGTGTTCGCGCTACACTAATTAATATCACTAATAATAGCCTTAAATTTTAACAATTTGTCTGCATAAACTACACTCTATTAAAGAAAAATGCGGCCCTCTGTTAACTGAAAATGCGAACCAATGATTCCAAAATGTGTAAAAGCGGAGTCTTTAACAAAACTGTTTAAACGGCTGCATTGCGTAAGTTGTAGAATAGAAACTAAAGATCAAACTTAAATCAAGTACTGCTATTCCCCATCCCTACAATTTTATATGCCTTCGTAATTACTTAAGTGAATGGAAGGGGAAATACAATGTGTAGGTATTTCTAAAAACCAAACGAAAGGGGATTGTATGACATTTTTCTATAATATTGTCAGTATTAAATTTTGCATGGAAATATGTTGCACCTTAACCACAAATGCACTTTGTAATTATATTCCAACATATTTTGTACAAAATAAAAAAAATACTCATGATTTGTGTTTTTTACGATCAATATATCCATCCAAAGGGCAGCTTTAAAAATTTGCTGTGGCTAGCACAGATACCACCCGCACACCTGCGCATGCGCAATTCTTCCTTTTATGTCTAAGAATATGTGTGCAACATTTAGTTCCAATCGATTCAGTTGTTTAGCCGGAAATGAGGGTACACTGTACAAACAGACAGATCGACTGATATCATCGACAGGTTTTGTGTGATTGCGACGCATGCGCAAAACCAATTTTTCCAACTGGTGTTAGATTTGTTTTTATTCCAAATGTCTATGTATAAAATTTCATTTAAATGCTTTAATAAATAAGAAAGTTGGCATTGCGCAATGCTCATGTGCAAAACAACATTTTGAAAATGTCATTAATTTTACTTATATTTCGTAGTGTTTACATATAAAGTTTAATTTAAATCTCTTCATAAATAAAAAAAAGTTAGAATTGCACATGCGTTAAACCAAATTTTTGACACTGCGCATGTGCAAAACCAAAAAATATCGGTATGCACGGAATCTTTAGAGCAAGCCCATTCAAATGGGCCTTATATCGCCCAAATCGGTTCGGTGGTGTATAGGAGTACGTGTGACGAACGGACGGGCGGACAGACGACAGACTGCAGCCAATAGCGATTTTTCACTCCGATAAATTACACAAATTCAAATAACACACAATATAAAATCCTCTATGCGATCAATTCTCGGTGGCTGATGAGTTAAGTTCGCTCACGGCTCAACACAAACGCAATGCGCTAATTGACAGGTCCTTGGCCCATCTTCGCTCGCATTTCAACGCGCATTGCCTGACGGTTCTCCTCGAACAATCTACGCCTACCAGTCAAAACCAATTCTTCCCTCCAATCAGAACATTCGACTATACATTTACTCCACGTGCAGTGAAAATATTCCTTCATCTACTTTCCCAATTACCTTCTTTCTACCCGTATCCATTTTCATGGTTTGTTTGAGTACCCTAGTACGAGTAAAAAATAAGAGGAGAGAATATAACGGTGGTGGGAAATAGCATAACAGGCGACGGAAGTCGTCATCATATCACTTCCTTATGGCGCTGGTCAGTTACGTCGACTTGACTTCTTATCATAAAACAGCGAAGAGACGATGTCAGTTTTTGTTTTATTACACCACTGCCAATAATGACGCGTTTCTCCCCACTCTTCTCGCACTTTTATAACTTCCTTTTTTGTCAATTTCCGTCTCGTCCCCTTTTAATGCAAGGTTCTCCCCTTTTATTTTTTACTCGTAGGAGTATCCCTTGTACACCACATTTTGCCAACGTTTTAGCATTGAGTTTTAGCGTTGAGTGAAGGATCTAGATCCTTCACTCAACGGTTTTAGTCTTAAAAAAGAGACGCGGAGCATGAAATAAATTCAGAACAAAAAACAATATAGTGGAAACGCCAGAACCTAAGCTTGTTACTTTTGACATCAAATATAAATTCAGAATTTTCAGAAGTTTTATAATGAGTGCGTTCACCAGGCGGAGCGCTAACTAAAGGCGGTAAGCCCGGTAATAGACTAGCGATTTCTCGCGCGAGTTGCTGTCTGATAGCACTGGCGAGGTGTACATACTACATACCACCATAAGTGGGATTGCACAGTGATATCTACACCTCGACAGTGCTATCAGACAGCAACTCGCGCGAGACATCTTACTATAGTCTTTCCCGCCTTTAGATATCACTTCGCCTGGTGAACGGAAGCAATGATTTCTATGGCTTTTACTTTAAAATCAAGTTTTGTATTATACACAATGGCACCAGAGGAAACTAAACATCTTGTGAAAGTTGATTCACTTGATAGTTAAAGCATCCCTTTATCATCTTGTATAATAAATAAATAACTATTACGAAGCAACAAGTATTGGTGTTGGACTTGATTACCTATATAGTTATTTACTATATGTACCGAGATTGTAATTACCACATGATCAAAAATGAGTGGCGGTCGAGCCGCCTTGGGAAGTTCAAGTAAGATTTCCCATGTAAACAAAAATTCCAAAGGTGACATGACAGCAACTCGTTTTTGATCACATAGTATCCATGAAAGTATTGATAGTAAAAAAGACAATTAGTACCAACATATTTTATTTGAAAGATCAGACTATATTACTACAAATTACAAGTTTTACACTAATATCCATTTGTTTTAATGGTAGGAACGTACAAATCTTCCTTCGAACGTTCCCCTGCTTTATATTGCCGATGCCTCTCCTGTCGCATTTCGATAATACGTTGGTTTCGAATTTTTCGTGAAGCGCATTCTTGGAAGTCTTGAATGAGAGTGTCACACTTCTTTCGCCCTTTATCAACTCCGTACGCCTCTAAACAATCCATCACCTTTAATTCCATATCTGCACATTGTCCGTACCATTGGTGACTGACCATTGCGCCAGTCAAGTCGGTGAAGGGCGATCGAAGAAAAGGCGATAAAGACATTGTTCTAAAATGAAAACAGAGTTTGAGAATAGAAGTGTTATGTCATCAATATACAATTAGGTTATGAATCCTAATCACACAAGGTTACCATCTTTTTTTTAGTAAACTCGCTTTTTAATTACCTACGTTACTTACTTTGTTTACTGATTTAAAAACTTATTAAATTAAGTTCCTTTTTAACAATAAAAAATGTACAGATAAACCTTACAAATCAAGAATAGTAAACTTATAAACTACTCAGCCTCAGCTAGAACTACACTTCAGATTATGTAGGTGGCGCATTTGAACTATACAATTACATAAGAACTACGAAAGAAGAATTCACATACACAATAAAGATATCCGCTACTGCAATCCTAGATTTGTAGTAAGTGGCGCTGTGCAAAATATAAAACGGGACCAAATTCAAAAAAGAAACTCAAATGCAAAAGGTGACTTTTTGATAGTTCGACAAAGTAAAGCGACATGAGACATCCCTCAAATAATAAAAAGCGTTTTGTCAGTTGAAAATATAATTTTAATACATCATTATAATATTGATTAATGGAATTGGACAATAAAGAAAATGTAAAAAAAAGTATCTGAATTGTAGATACAGATACAAATTTTGAAAAGGATCTTATGTATCTAGATACTTTTTAAGTAGATCCAGATACTGTATCTAGATATAAGTAAAAAATTACAAGTATCTAGATACATCACAACACTGTAAAAAGCCCGTGACACACGAGAATCCACAATTTTCGTTGCTAGTCCAGTGAAAGTATGCAAACTAGGATATTTTTTTAATTCGTACTCTACTATTAGTGTGTAAGAGCTTTCTGGCTATGACTATACTAGTAAAACGGTAGCTATTCTTGATCTACTGCTACATATACTTTGTTGTAAAACAAACTCGCTTAAAAATGGCCGACTGCCGTAAAGTAGCGACGTATCGGTAATTGTTCCTCATGCGCCTCATGTTCACATTGGGCGCGTTCATAAAACACAACTGGTTTTATGAACGCGCCCAATGTGAACATGAGGCGCTTTCTTTCGGTGATGCAAACGCGTTTGGATTGTCAAATCACGTTCTTTCGAAGTGTGATCTTATAATCATGATTGCTAAAATCGTGAACAAACTGAACATAAAAGTTTTATGATCACGAATTCCTAACCTATAAATGCAAGGATATTTTTGCTCAAATGTTAGGTTAGTCCATATTTGTAACTGAAGAGGAGCATAATCGCACAAGTACTTCCACTTGAATTTAAATTATTTTCATAATCCAAACAAAAAATACGTAATTCGAATGCAAATGTGTACTACGTAAACTTAACCATACTTTGATTTAAATTCGCGCGTTCTTTCGTAAAACGTGATCCTATGAATCACGATTTTGAAATCATGATTGCGAAGTAGCCGAAAGAAAGCGCCTATGATAAACTAACCTTGCAACTTTAAAATACTACCCTGTATATACAATGATTGAAGATGTGAACGATCCTGTACATATAACCAAGAAATCGGCCGCGGGGGTCAAGGCTGCTCGTTTGAAAAGTGCGAGGTCATTACGGTAAATGAAACCTTTTTAAAAATTTCTAACACAAATGAGGAAAATTTTGTCGGTTGTCGATGTTCATTAGAAGATAAGAAAAATTTCACTCAAGGTAAGCGAGTAGGTAAAAGAAATTTTGGCTAATTTGACCATTTTATTCATAAACAATAACTTGCAATCTCATGGTATTTAGTAACCTTTCTCTTTACTGCATATTTCCAACTTCTAATAAAAGAACACAAAGCGGTTTATTGTTCCAGATTTACATTTCACTATTCACTGTGTAGACTGAAAACAAGACTGTTTATTTCATACATCATGACCAATATCAGTGCCGAAGCGCAAATTCGATATTTAATCCAATGGTTTAACGAGTGGAGTGAGCTTCAGAGATCCGATTTTCTGCCAATATTAGCGGAGAAATACTCCAATAAGGTATATGTAAATGGAATTGTTAATCACATGTCGAATGTCAATTGCCAGGAATTGTTAATCACATGTCGAATGTCAATTGCCAGGATAAACCAATGTCGTTGTTCGAGTGCCGGGTAAGCATTGACAAGATAATTACATTTTCATGTAAATAACTATTTCAGATAAAGTTATTCAAAGAATGGTTTGGCCATTGGAATCCTGCACAAAGAGACAATTTTTTAACGAAAATATCAGACATCGATGAGATTTTTGCTGCAAAGTTAAATGTGGAATTGCAGCAAGGTTTGGAGAATGGGGAAATTTTGAACGAAAATCATAATGCGACAAATGGAGAGGACCTTTTGGAAGATTAACTATATGAATAGTTTTTTTTTATTTTACCTGCATATCTACGTACCTAATTAATTCTATTTATTTCTACATACTTTAATAAGGATGTAAGTTGAATGAAAGCGTGTATATATAGCTTGCAATTTAGCTGTGTTTGATTATTTAATTTGTTTGGCAAATATGTACGTGCCAATGGTAAAGTGTAGTGTACTGACTATACGGCAGCTAAGCAATTGTTTACATTATTCCAGTTTATATTTTTAGTAGTTACAAATAAAGGTATAATCTACATCTTTTATTTTTAAGTGGACAGGCTTTCAGTCAAGGCTGCTCTACCCTTATAATAGAGAAGCAGCATAGTCTATGCCTCTATCAACAGAACCCACTGTTTTACAAATATCCATGCCTGGACACGGATACGAACCAGGGACCCTTACATTACATACAGATGTAGGTTAAAAGGGGCAAAGTTACCCCTTTTTGTAGTCAAAAAAACGCATTTAAAATTTTTGAAAAATCTTTAAAAATAACTCACCGAAAAACAGAAATGTTAAATTTTGTTTTCATTTTTCTTGCTTAAGCGGTTGGAAATGCACGATTCCCGTTAGCATCACCTTCAATATAAGGGCACCTTTTTTTTCGGAGAATATCTGAATTTGTTATCAGAATTTCCATAGCACGTTAGATGTAGAAAGATTCTCTGAAAAAGAGTGCCCATAAAATGGGGCTAAACGCAGGGCCATATTTAAGTATCTGCTGCCTAGGCAGCGAAATTGTCCCCCCCGCCCCTCTTGCCTCTATACGACACTAAATTGACGTCAAAACAAGCCATTGCCAGTTGATTAGGGCGCTAGTGTATGCCACTTTCAACTTTTCAGTGTTCAGATCTATAGATAGTAGGTATACCTAAAACCATTACTTTAAAATCCAGATTAAAAAAATTTCTTATTGAAGGCATATTTTATAATAACGAATTTAAAGACGGTAATTTATATATATCGAATTTAACATTTAACATGTTTCCTTTGACTTCTGCAAATGTTTCATTGGCACGTTAACAGAAATAAATGTTATTATTATTATTACAACCTCAAACTAGATAGACCAATTAATACCAGCCATGTGTGACCTGAAATTTGCAGTGATCTACCACTGGAGCAGTTTTTCTGTTATGGAATCAAAGTTAATGGTTATTTATTATCCAAGACGCTCTAAACGTCATTTTATATCGTGCTCCGCGTCCCATGTGAAATAAGAATGACAGTTGTTATTAGAATGCATACACCTACTCATGTGTTTTAATTCACCTACCATTGCGTTTAAACTGATCACTTTATAATATCATATATAATAATATCATGTATTGAGATGTAAAATAATACAATTGTATTGTGCTACATATATCTCAAAACCCTCACAGTTAAAGAGCGAGTTAGCCTACTCATTCAAACGTATTAACATCTGCTATAACAATAAAGATATTTTTATCAACTTTTGGACAAAATCGGCTCAAAAGTTTTAGGAGAGTGGAGTAGTGTCTCTGGGCGTTGTTGACGTTATTGCATAAGACCCAAACAATTTCTGGTAATCAACATGCTTCTTTTAGAAAAGGTTTGTTGAATCTTCAATAAGTAATCATTTTGTTGCCACAAATACAAGGTACGTATATATTAAAAAATATATGGTATAAACAATATAATTTGTTCAAATAATCACAGCAGTAATAAAAATATGCACCAAAAACAATTTCAGGTAACTTGAAATACCACATAATTCAGTCTTTTGAATGCGAAGGGAAATGTGAATGAGAATGTAAAATTTTTTGACATAATGTCTTAATGCTGGGCTGATTTAGAAACTCTGCTTCTCTAAGAATTCTCCGAATATCTCCCATCCTCTTGTGTTTCACAGCCAACAGATACGCAGTCTTCAATTGTTTAGATTCGATATAAGCCGATATCTGAAATGTACGTGAAAGCAATTGAAAAAAATTGCTATAAATGTACCTTAGCCGCACGGTCCGTAATTAATTTTATTAATCCATCTAACTGAGGGCCGGAGACATTTGTCTTGGTCAACGTCTGAACGGCGAGTATAAGCATTTCATCGCACATATCGGTTACGGCTGAATCACTAACACCACTTGAACGAATACAATTTACCAACTGGGCAATGGAATTGTATTTTTCACTTTTAGCGAGTTGCTTGCCCGCCTGGCAATACACTTTGACGGCGCTCAATTTATGATCCGTAATAATCCTGTTCAAGACAATTATTAATGTCATTAAATGCTAGTTTAATTAATTCACCTGTAAGCGATACCAAATCCATCCTCAATGTTAGTTCCACATACGATTGCTAGAACTGCTAATTGCACTCTTTCATAATACGAACCAAATAATGTTGGAATTTTTGTCTTGTGCAAACTATCAAATGAGGCATCTGCAATTAGGTTTTTACTTACCTAGTCTTATTTGTATAAAGTACGTGCTGTGATGAAGAATCTCTACACTTACCGTTAATGTAATTTAGAGAACGGCAATTTTGTTTTAATTACTTTTCAATTTTCTTATTTGCAAATAGTTGCAAACATTTCTTTGTATTTTCTAGGAATGTGTTATCAGTTGAAAAATTGATTAAATTTTAAATTAGGTCCCTTTGCCATTGTGTATGTAATTAAAGTAGAAAATGATGACATGGTTGTGTTTACGTTTCAAAAAGTTCAAAAGTTAGTTCAGCTTACCTTCAGTAACGAAAGGTAAAATTTCAGGTAAAATTTGCATGACTGGAGCGGAGGAGAATTCACAATCTGCCAAAAATTTTGCAACTTCAATTTGTCGCGAGATGGTGTTAATATGCTTGTCAACATTTCTCGTATCGATCTTCATAACCAGAGAAGGATTTGCAATACCTTTTGCCTCAAAACTATCTTGAGAGTCCATATTTGGCTTACGAACTACAACAAAAGAGTTAGGCATAGAAACTGGGGTTTTCAAAACCTCGCATGCACTTGATGTGCACTTTAGATAGAAACAAAAAAAATGATACCTGAAGCCACTTCAACCCATTGCTCTTGTTCCAGCTCCTGTTGCAGATGCTGCTGGGCCTTATGTAGGTAGTCAACTTTTCCAGTTAATTCCGTAAATGTGGCCGCATCATCCTTGTAAAATTTAATACAAGTTAATGCCGCTCTGACAAAGTCTCCCATGAATTGCTGTAACTCGTACAGAGAGTTAAGATTGGACTGCTTTTCTAAATGTCGACAAATGTGTTTTAGGTAATCCTGAAATATGACACTTAAAGCTTTTGAAGAGACTACAACACTACTACCTTCCAGATGTCTAAGGTGGAATCAATTTCTGACATTGTTTCATGGAGCTCGCTCACACAGTTTTCTTTTAAACACAGCATGTATACGTCGATGAAGTAATCCGAGTTCAATCTATGATCTAACATATACTTCAGACATTGATGATAATCTGAATGTTTCAAATAGAATTCGAGTACACTAATGTGCGACCCATACTTGGTTAGGTAGTAAACGCATTCCTCATAAAACAGTGGTTCTAGGTACGGTTTCGTTTTGCCCACTGATGACATAGACTCCGTAGTATCAGAGTAAGCGGAATAATTTCCATTCATGACGTTATTCAAATTTCTTAATTTATTTAGAATACAAACGGCCATATCGTTCTGTACAGACGTTGTGCTACTGTTTAAGCTGCAAGTCGAGGACAGCAGAGTGTTTGACATTTTTACCTCCTTTACAATCTTAGGATCGATGATGGTTGTGTATGATTCAAGGATTTGAATTATTTCGTTCAGAAGCGGAGGATTTTTTATCGGTCTGTTTTCGGAGGAGTGCAACACTTTTGAGAGATAATGTGGTAATTGTGTACTTGAATAGCTATTACTTAATTCGGTGGAGGTCTCATAGTGAGCCGTTTTATCAAAACATCTCTGAAATTTTTCTCTTGCCCTTTGAAGACTGCCTGCCTTCAAGTAACTCTTTCCCCAAGCGGCAAAAACACCTGCAATTGTTATTATTATTGTCGGTGTTTCTTGTGAGAACTCAGGTCTAGCCTGGTTAACTAATCGCACGGATTAAAATCAAGTAACGATTAGTGTCTGTGTCTGGTGAAGTTATGTAGGGAGGGTTCTAAAGAAAAATAAAAATAAAATAAATATTCACACACTCACATTGGAAATCTAGAGATAGTATGTAATTCATACTTACCAACATAGCTATTAATGGCCCCAATAGTCAACGCTATCAGAAAAGAAGAAAACAAAACAAAAATATCATTATATTATAATAATTCCTGTAATTTTATTAAATAGAGTTTATTGTGTATAAGTGTTTCTTTGGCTTTGCGTTTGGGTTGAATACGAGTGGGTTGTGATAACGTGGTGTGTTTATGTGAAGAAGGAGTTTTGTGTTTTTTAATTGTATTTATGGTGTTTCTTTGTTCCTGAGGTCGTATTTGTGAGGTTGTTTGGGTTTTTGGTGGAGATATTGCAGTATTTTGTGAGCCTGTGGTGTTGTTAAGGTTTTTGCGCTTCGGTTGTATACGAGTGGGTTGTGACAATGTGGTGTGTTTCTGTGAAGAAGGAGTTATGTGTTTTTTAAGTGTGCTAGGACGTGTAACTTTATTGGGTAGACCTGTCTTTGTAGTGCAAGTTGCGTTACTTGTATTTGTGGTGTTTCTTTGTTCTTGAGGTTGTATTTGTGTGGTTGCTTGGGTTTTTGGTGGAGATATTACAGTATGTTGTGAGCGTGTAGTTCTGTTAAGGTTTTCGCGTTTCGGTTGAATACGAGTAGGTTGTGATAACGTGGTGTGTTTATGTAAAGAAGGAGTTTTGTGTTTTTTAACTGTGCTAGGACGTGTAACTTTATTGGGTGGACCTGTCTTTGTAGTGCATGTTGCGTTACTTGTATTTATTGCGTTTGTTTGTTCAGGAAGTTGTGTTTGTGTGGTTGGTTGAGTTAAGTTTGGAAATATTACAGTATGTTGTGTGTCATGTTGTGAGTCTAAAGTGCTGTTTAGGCTTTTGCGTTTGGGTTGAATACTAATGGGTGGTGATAATGTGGTTTGCTTCAGAGGTGAATCTCTGATTGTAGAATATGTTGTATCATTTGTTGTACTTGTTTGTTCGGTAAGTTGTATTTGTGTGTTTGTCTGGGTTAGAGGTGGAGATATTACAGTATGTTGTGTACCGTGTTGTGAGGGAGTGCTGTTGTTTACATGTATACGTTGTGGATCATTTCTAGTATCTTGTGTTATGTTTAGAAATTTACGAACAATATGGCATGTGTTGATAATGACTGCTTTTTGTAAATGTTTGTATGTGTTTTTGTCCAAACCTAATAGTTGTAAATTGTGGTGTATTGTCTTTGGTATAACTCCCGTAGCACTAACAATAATGGGAACTATAACAGTAGATTTCATTCTCCATTGCGTCTTAAGCTCGATAGCTATATCGGTGTATTTGCGGTGTTTTTCTGCATGTGTTTTAGTTAAGTTGTTAATGTTGGGTATGGCAATGTCTATAATACAAATGGATTTTTGCGTTTTATCTATAAGTGTAATATCTGGTCTATTATTGTGGATAGTTTTGTCTGTGAGTAGTGTCCTGTCCCAATATAATTTGTGTGTGTTGTTTTCAAGTATGATCTGTGGCGTGTATTTGTAGTATGGTGTCTTATCTGTTATGAGATTGTGTTTAAGTGCTAATTTTTGATGTATGATTTTATTATTATTATTATTATTATTATTATTATTATTATCCCTCTCTTGTTCTGGGCCCTCAACAGGCTACAGAGTGAACCGCATAATGCTTTTTAGAGGTGCCTCTGCAGAAGGTCTTAAGTTGTTCTGTACTACTCCGGTATTTACCTTACAAATTAGGAAAACTGCAGGAAAACCTAATTTGGAGTAGCCGGTGGAATGATCAGAACTGGTCTAAGGTAATTTCCATCTCTGCCACAGATGAAAATTCACCTCAACCCAGGTTCAAACACCCGACCTCCGGATTTATAGCCCAACGCTCTACCACTGAGCCATAAAGCCTTGCTTTGTATGCAGTACATTTGAGTAATGGACATACCTGCGTTATCGAGACCAGCCTTTGTTGAGACCTCAAGTGCCAAATTCCATTGCTCTCGTTCCAATAATTTATCACGAAGACGTCTCAAAGTATTCGCATCTATATATCGAACTTGACTGGGCGTTGTAGTTGGAATTAAATGCAAGCAATCACGTTCCGCCAACAATCCCAACAGGTCTGCCTGTGACAATATTCTATCGGCGAGAGATGATCCCCATTGTAGCATACATTGAGCGGACAACATTTTTGCTGCAATCGCAAGGGACCTAAATATAAGAAGTAAAGCTGAGATACACATCAGTAGGGTATACTTTAAGGGGTTCCCTACACGACCAAAGGTACACTGTCCATCTATTGACACTTTTCAGTACTAATGAAGCAGAGATATAACAGATTTTTATAGTGGATTTGGTGTATAAAGCAAATGTTCAGTTGGATACGCTGGCTTTGCACTTAAAAATTTGGTTGAGAAAAGCAAAGTTATTTTCCTTTGACTCCAAATAGAAGCGAATGATCTTGAAGCTACGCCAACGTACGTCTGGATCCCTGGAGAACCCTCAGGATTAAAACATTAATTAAGTTTTTTAATTCACTTAAGGGAATAAGGTGTTGCTTTTCCTCCCGGAGGGATTAGAAGTTAAAGGAGGGGCGAAAAGTGACACTAAACAATAATGAACTAGCAGTCCAGGCAAAAGTCGTACTGCCTTTGGGAAATCCCGTTTTTTCCCTACTCCGTTCCCGACTCTTTTGGACTACATCTTAACGCCTTCAAAGAAATTTACGTTCTAAATGTGAAGTCTCTTTTCGACTGTAAGACAAAATCCTGTTTTCTCCTGTTCCCGTTCCCGTTGGAATTTCGGAAAGTACGTCACTCCAAAAAGACTGAACGCAAGCACCGGCGCAACGTGCCGTAACGCCGTTATCAGAGACGTCACCTCAGAGATAATACAGTCGAGCGCCAAAGATTCAAGAGATTTTCCTGAAGTGCCCTGTGACTGTCTGAATTAAACTTCAGTGAATGGGTGCCAACTGATGAGAGACTACAAACAAGCGAGATTGTTCCGTTCCCTAACCTTTTTGACTAATTATTGTGAAGAACAGGATCAAATGTAACTGCCACGACTGAATCATAGCGATACTCAACTCTCTTGTCAAGTTCAAACTCAAATAAAACCTCTCCACAGTATAAACTCATGAAAATGTATTTTGGGATTTAGGAACGCATGTTTTGTTGTTGTCTCTGCGCAATAATGCAGGTAAAGCTAAACGCTTGCACGTTTTGCGGTAGAGATCTCATGAGTCTTTGGAAAGAATAGATGCTGAACATAAAGCTATACTATACTATAGTGGCCTACATAGGTATATTTAAATTTTTTGCGGCTGGTACTGGAATTACATACATTGATCGAAATAGTATATAATACGAGATTCTCCTCCGCGACTTCGTACGCTCGATATTGACGGTATATGAACATAACACTTCGCCACGGTACGACGCAAGTGACTTGGAGCATGTATGGATCGGTACGTGAAATATCAGAGTGCGACATATACAAAAAAAAAGTTTAAAAAAATCTTATAAACTGATCAGGCCCAGTTGGGAATCTAAACCACCCGGGGACACATTATAAAACACAAAAAAATGTCATCAAAACAGTCCAGCCGTTTGGGAGAAGTTCAGTCACAAACACAAGTACAGAAGAATATACAGATATCAAGGGACTAAAGTGTGTGTTTTAATCCTGAGTGCAGATTGTTTCTCGAAACGTAGCAGAGGGCAATAAGCACCCAATTCAAAATTGTGTTTTACATATGTACTATCGCTATGCGAATGGATCTATATTATAACCTATTCGCGATTCAGATTAACAGTGAGACCTCTGGTGGCAGCACACTGTAATTACCATTGGTGGTATAAGACCGCCATTTTGTTTATTTACAATGCCCAAGTAATGAATATTGTAGTTTTTGGGTTGTAAAAGTAAATACACCTTAAATTTAAGAAATCGTCGTCTAACGCATATTCTTTGATGAATACCTTCCTATTAGCAAAACTTAAAGCGGCATATTCACATTGAAGGTGCACTTTGTGCGATTAGGTATGCCACCAACAGTAAGAAAAAATTAAATCGACATTTATTAAACACATTGAAAAATACCTATTGTTTAAAATTAATTGTGTGTAATTGTCCACGAGTAGTAAGGCCGTTTTAAAGCAAAATCGACGTAAGGGAACGTCGGTAAGTTGTACTAACAGTTGTAAGAGTGCGCTAGAAATTGAATGATATAAGATGTTTGTAATTAGAAAAATTGCAGTCTCAAGTTCTTAGGTAGGATATGATTAGGGGGTTATATTGTCTAGGCTCAAAAACGGCAGGATAAACTGAATTCATTTTCAAAACAGTAAAATTTCACTTAAAAACCTGCAAGAAAGTATATACTTAAGAAGGTACCTACTACCACAAGAGTTATGGATCGTGTTCAATTCTAATCCTGCAAGAATAACCCAATGTTTACAAACCGCTACCAACTATACACGTCATTTCTAAATTACATAAGCGCCTCAAGTGTTAATATGATCGCGAATTATGAATGAAATTTAGTATTACGAAAGGAAACCATTTTAAATATAACATGATTACCTATAAAGTGTAAATAATAAAATGGAATTATTGACATCCATATCCAGAATTATTGAACTTGCAAAACATTAATGTACCTAGTTTAGACCCTTTGAATCCCACTGAAATAAAATCACGTAATGACGCATAGAATCAGGACTTTTATTTTTACAACTTCAATCTTGGACCATCTTACATCTCCTATGAAAACTGCCTCAAGAGCAGGATAGATTTATGGTCTCAAATTCAAACACTACTTACTTGAGCATCTTTATTACCAATAGGTAGTCAATCTCTTGTAATGACTCTGAATACATTGGCTGCAACAATCGTAACATCGCGTCACACTGATCCAAGAGAAACCTACAGCAATGAACGTATAAGATAGGCAATACTGAAACGAGTACCAACTTGGGATATTCCTCATTTTTAGAATGATGCTTTAAAATGGAGAGGCAAAGAGAGACGCTTGGCGCATACTCGTATGAAAACTCTTCTCTAACAATTTCGTTATGCGTAGTGTCATCGGTAAGCAGCCAATCAACGGCTAGTGTTCTTATTGATGCTTCACTTTTAGAAGATGAGGTGCCTGCTCCGTCTTGCTGGGCCTGATCGTAACAATCTAAGCAAACTCGTACCAAAATATTTTCATAGGTTGGCACCTAAAATGCAATCAGAATGCAAAGAATTTAACCAGGACGAGACTTACATGCATGCGTTTTACAGAACATGTACCACAAACAACCCTTCCACATCTTCTGCAATGGTGACGTCTATTGAACATCGAAAATGTTGTTTGTGCACAGCACATGCACTCAGTTACCTTAAGATTGTACAACATAATTAATGTCTCGGCAAGTGGTAAGTACCTCGTAATTTTCCACCCATTCGGTTTTAGCCGGTACCATTTCAGGCATGACAAAGTACTTGGGAGCCGTTGTGAAATTAATCGAATCCAACGATTGCAACAGCTTGCTACTCTCTGGCGAGTTGATGAACTTCACTTCCGGCTGGAGCACAACACGAAATTCCAAGCTTTTCTCTGCGTACGTCCTTAGAATCTCGTCAATCTTCTCAAGGGACAATTCGCTCTCGTCAAATTCGCAATTTTCAAGATCCGGCCGAATTTTCTCGAGTACTTGACCCAACTTCTCCAACCGAGTATTCATAACCAGCATCTCTACGATTGTTGACGGTTCCGCAATTAGGCACCATAAATTCTCCTGTTCCGACTGGGTAAAACACGAAAGTATCGATAGGCTAATTTTGATGTCTTTTAAAATATTGTTATGATCAACTA